TTCTATATTTTTCAATAATATATAAATCATTTCCAATGCAAAAAGGCCTTTCCTGTAAAACCGGCCAATTTAACAGGAATTTTGTCAACAGAAAAATTATATTTCAACAAAAAGTATTAAATATATAATTAGGAAATACATTCCAAGGACTTTCTCTATTCTTCATAAACTCTTTCAACCATTTAATTTTAAAAGGGTCATTGAGAGAATTATAATCTAAGACTTCCAGCCCCCCTTGCTCTTTAGGATTACAAATTACCTCCTTTTTTAGGCACATCTAACGATAATGATGTGTAAACAGATCTAGACATACCTTCCGCCTTTGACAATAATACCCTCCCAAATATTGAGATGTCCCTCATTAACCACAAATTAAATTTCTTTTTAGTTTTCTCAATAATTGGTTCAAAATTTAACTGACTCCTATATTTTTCGTTTTTACAAAGTATTACACCTAAATATGTTAATTTATGTTTAACTGGAATATTCTCTATTTCTGAAGAGGAGCAATCTTTGAGGGGAAATAATACAGATTTATCTAAATTCATTTTAAGGCCTGAAACACCAGTGAATTCCTCAATATATCTAATTATTTTTGGTACTTCAAATTTGTTTTTCAAAAACACTGTAGTGTCATCAGCAAACGGACTAAGTTGAAACTGTACACCTAAAGCTGTGATACCATTAAATTGATTTCTTTTTATATGCGATGCTAGAACCTGAGTGACTAACAAAAATAAAAAAGGAGAGAGAGGGCATCCTTGCCTAATGCCACGATGAATATCAAATCTTTGAGAGGTACCATGAGCAAGTTTGACAGAACTATTACACCCACTATACAATGTTTGAACTGCTTTCAAAAACATATCTCCAAAACCAAACAATTTAATAACTTTGAAAATAAAATTATGAATCACCGTATCAAATGCTTTATAGAAATCAATAAATAAAATAAAACTATCATCCTCAATAAAGTGATTATAATCAATCATATCTAAGACTAGTCTAATATTATTCCTGATATGACGGCCTTGCATAAACCCAGACTGTTCTATATCAATTATTTTGTCTAAACCTTGCTTC